CATTTGCAAGTTTTAACCATATAAAATAAACAGATCAAATATCAAATAAACAAGACAATTATGAAATATAATCTACTTATCTTCTTCGGGCGAATTATCAGGTGTCCAAGCTTCTCTTTGTAATTTCATTTCCATTAATACTTGAGTTAATTCTTGATTTCTTGATTCCTCATGCATCCTTCCATTTACAAGCAAACTAGTAAATCTTGACTTTAACAATTCATAGGTTACGTCATCGTTTGAAGCATTATCAAGTGTTATAGATTTTTTTTTTTTATCTTTAATCATCCACAATTCAATTTCATCCATAATAACATTTTCTATATAGTACCCAGTATGTGGGATTTCCAACATTTTGAAACATAATATTCTTTTATTTAAATTTCAATCACTATTGATGTAATGTGCAGTCAAACAAAGAAATTCAATTTTACTTCTAGATGTCTACATATCAGAAGTTAAATTAATTCTATCATCATAAGTTTGAAAAAAAGATTTCAAATTTGCTACTTGCAAATTAAAATTATTCATAATATCTCTTTTGACTATTTTTGAAGAAACCCTTTATATTGAGGATTAAATTCTCTTTGAATCATTCTAGTGAAATCATGCTTTTCAACAAATGTAAAGGACTGTTCGGCTCTAACAACATAATCAACTACTTCTTTACGTGCTCGTGTATCATCAAACTTAAATGTGTTTAAATTACATTGTTCATTTTTTTCTTAATTGATAATGTTGGTCAATATCTACATTGTCCTTAGTCAAGTGTGCATCTCGATGACACTGAACTAGTAGACACTGAAGTTTGTTGTGTTTGTGTATGTGCATGGTTGGATGTATCAAGATGTGCTTGGGGGGATCTGGTAGACTCCTAAAATTGTAATTCTTCATTTTCATGAGTAGTGACATTAAAACCACTACTTGCCATTTTTAATTTAGAAAATAATAAATATTTAACAATTAAACTCACAAGTAAATATAACTATGATATAGAGAAAAAGAAAGATATTATCCAATCACAACACAATGAAAAATTGTTGTAGAAGTTGAAAATTTGATTTGAGTGTGAGTACTCCAAGTCTCCAACAACTTCTATCCAATATTTCAACTCCAATTTCTTCAAATTAACAAGCTATAATCAAAAGAGTTAGATAATAATAATAAAAAAAGCTTCAATGATATTGAGAGTTGAAAGAAGTTTTAGAGTGAGTTAGAAAGAGAGATTGAATTGTGGTGAAGAAATAATGGAAGTCTTAAACATATTTATAGACCTTTTGGGTGAGGAAGGTTTGTGTAATTTTTTAAATGAAAAATTAATTGTTGCTGTCTTGAGAGGCGGGATAATCTATAATTTTATTTAAACAA